CCGTCATTGTTGTTTGGCGGGTCCGGGCTGGATTCGAACCCGCCACCTTAGGTGTATGTGGCTGGCGCCTTAGCCACTTGAGCCACAGACACCAAGCTACAAATAATAATTTTTAAAACTACAACCTAACAGTCATTCACATAGCATATACATTGTATTAGGTAATATAAGTAATCTGGAAATGTTTTAAAATATAAAGGAGGATTTGTGTAGATTTTATGTAAATACTAAGCCATTTTGTATCATGAACTTGAGCATCTGTGAATTTTGATATCTCAAGGGTCCTGAAACCCATAACCTGAGGATGCTAAGGGACAACTGTATTCAATTTCTTCTTTGGTTATTAGTCCATTCTCTAGTGTATTTTTGTAGTTTTGTCTTTTTGTTTTTGCTTCAAGTCAATGTCAGAAACCTCATTTTCCTACACCATCCATTTTCTGAAAATCACTAATAAGCAGAGTATTGGAATTTAAAGTAACTGATTTTTTTCAGATTGGCAAAAATTAATGTAAGTTTCTAATGTTGGTGAAGCTGTAGCAAACGTTTTCCTGACATCTAAGAGGATTCATCAAAACGAAATAAAATACCTATACTATGGATATGAAGGAGCTATTTGGGGGTCTTGGTAATGCTGTATATCCGTATCTGGGTGCTGGTTAAGTGCGACGTACAGGTTACGAAAATTCATTAAGTTTTATAATATGTACAATTTTCTGCATGTGTATTATATTTCAATAAAGCCTTAAAAATATGTCTTTTACCAAAGCTATATATAATGGTATTGCTTTGACCTGAACACACGTGGCTCTGGCTCCCGTCCCTTTAAGCTAAACAAATGAAACGATTTCATTCCTTCGTCATTGCCTTGATTCTAGCCTCAAACTGTGGGTTGACGCTGGTTGTTTCCAGAGAAGGGTTCTAGGAGACAGGAGGCTCTAGCATTTCGCCCCCATACGTACCTAACCCCGGCTAACATCAATCCTCCCACACTGTCTGGGACAGAGCCCCGCCCTCCCGGGCACCGAGAGGCGGGGTCACGTGATCGTCGGATCAGCTGACCAGGGGCGACCGGAAAAAGAGATTCCTGGGCTCCAGCGTCCTAGCACGATGGTGAGAGTCAAGGGGTGGTGCGAGGCAGGGGATGCCGGGGTAGGACGGTGGGGACGGTGACTCTGGAAGTGAGGAGAGGAGAAGTCTGCAAATACAATGGGTATGGTCGTGGGGCCAAGTTGAGGGGGATCTGGTAGAGAAAAGTCCACCCGAACCCCGCTGCGAGCGTTGCAGGTGGGACAAATCAGGACGCCCGGCTTAGAGTCCACGGTGCTTACTTGAAACAGCAGAACCTGGGGCTTGTCGGGAGCGGGAGTCTTTCCAGGCCTTCTCCAACCCCAAGAGTACCTCCTAAGCGTGCCCACGTCCCCAGCCCGCCTGTGGGTGTTTAACCAGAACTTGCTTAGAATTAGGCTCCTTTTCATACTGTTAAGAAGCCTCTCCACTCTTTCTTTCTTTTTTTCTTCTTCTTCTTCTTCTTTTTTTTTTTTTTTGGAGTTTTTGGCCAGGGCTGGACTTGAACCCACCACTTCTGGCATATGGGGCCGGTGCCCTGCCCTTGAGCCACAGGCGCCACCCAAGAAGCCTCTCCACTCCTTCCAGAGCCAGAAAGTAGTTTTGGGATTGAGATTTCCCAATTCATCCCTCCATTCATTCATTCAACAGAGAACGTTTTTTAGTGCCTAGTGTATACCAGGCAGTGTGCCAGGGAGTGGGACTTCAGCTGCAGGAGGGGAAATCGGAGGGTTGAGTTACCAGTTCTAGTTAAGACCTCCCCTCCCATGGCTCAGCGCCTGTGGCTCAAGTGGCTAAGGCGCCAGCCACATACACCTAAGGTGGTGGGTTGGAATCCAGCCCGGGCCTGCCAAACAACAATGATGGCTGCAACCAAAATGTAGCTGGGCGTTGTGGCGGGCGCCTGTGGTCCCAGCTACTTGGGAGGTGGAGGCAAGAGACTCGCTTGAGCCCAGGAGTTGGAGGTTGCTGTGAGCTGTGATGCCATGGCACTCTACCCGGGGGGATAGCTTGAGGCTCTGTCTCAAAAAAAAAAAAAGACCTCCCCCCCATTACAGGGCGGTGCCTGTGGCTCAGTGAGTAGGGCACCAGCCCAAATACTGAGGGTGGAGGGTTCAAATACTGCCCTGGCCAAACTGCAAGGCCAAAATGCAACAACAACAACAAAAATAGCCAGGCGTTGTGGTGGGCACCTATAGTCCCAGCTACTCGCGTGGCTGAGGCAAGAGAATCACCTGTTGCCTTCTTGCTGTGGCGTCACAGCTTACAGCAATTTCACTCTTGGGCTTAAGCGGTTCTCTTGCCTCAGCCTCCCAAGTAACTGGGACTACAGGCACCCATCACAATGCCTGGCTATTTTTTTTTTTTTTAATTGCCATTCTCATTGTTGATTTTTTAGCTGGCTGGGCCGGGTTTGAACCTGCTAGCCCTTTTGTATGTAGCCGGCGCCCTACCCACTAAGCTATGGTGCCACCAAGGCTGGGAATTCTAAATTCAGTGACATCCAGACCCCATCTCTAAAAAGAATTGTTTTAATTAATTGGGCATGTGCCACTATTTCAGCTATTCAGAAGACTAAGGCAGGAGAATCACTTGACCCTAGGAATTTTAGGCAGTGAGTTATGATTATACCACTGCATTCCAGCCTGGGCAACAGAGTGAGACCCTGTGTAGAAAAAGAAAAGACCAGGCTTGGTGCCTGTGGCTCCAGTGGCTAAGGTGCCAGCCACATACACCTAAGGTGGCAGGTTTGAATCCAGCCCAAGCCTCTCCAAAACAACAATAACAGCTGCAACCAAAAAAATAGCCAGGCGTTGTGGTGGGCGCCTGTGGTCCCAGCTACTTGGGAGGCTGAGGCAGGAGACTCGCTTGAGCCCAGGAGTTGGAGGTTGCTGTGAGC